TGATATTAAATTTGCATGTGCTGAAGTTTCAATGCAAGAATTTCTTTTTTGGTTTTCAATTTTTCTAGATGGATTTTTTTCCATTTCCAGGTTGTGTCGCCGTTGTTCCTGAAGTTGTTGGGCTTGAGCTGCTTGGATTTCCGTCATCCGCTTAGAAATTTGCTTGTTGTAGTGAGCCATATCGTCGAGCTTTTTCGCTTGAATTTTCAAAACTCCCAACAAATCTTGGTGGAAATTTTGCTGCTGTTCAACTTGCGTTTCCAGCAATCTCAAACTCCGCTGACCAGGTTGTCTTCGGCGGATGGGCTCTTGTTGAAGTTCAACTTCTGATAATTCGTCGACGGGATCATGGCCCACAAATGAACCATTGGCTACGCCACTGTTATTTTCGTCCGCCGCAGCAGGAGCCCCAAACGCAATAGAATCCTCTATGCCATCTACGGCTGCGGTGAGCCCAGTCAGAGCGACAACCCTTTCTTCAAGCGAGGTCAATTCTACTATCTTGTTGGGGCCGCCCCCTGTAGCTTGCTGCTCTCTTCGATTGTGAGCCAACTTCCGCTTCAAGTTTGACTTCCAGTCAAACCAGACCTAAAATGTTAACATGAAAATTAAGATATGATTGATATTTTTTTTTAATTATTTCCTTTACCTTCCCGCATAAGCGCGAACCATAAATTGACCTTACCTAAAATGGTTATAAATTGTTTATAATCCCTGCTAAACTTCAACTGAAATGGTTCGATCATCGATCAACTTTATGTGGAATATATCGCGAATTGGTTGCCTGTAAATTACTGATTACCAATTCACGATATACTTCACGTAAAGTTGAGCGATAATACAAAACCATTAATGGACCTTACTGACTACCATAACCATAACCATTAATGTTCTCAAACCATAAGTAAAAACGTTTTAATATAGTTCTCTTTCCGAAAATGTATGGAGAAAACAAGAATTTCGAATGGTAATGGTTCTTAACAACCCATTATTTGTAAGGTCCGCTTCCAAAAAACCATAATACATAAGGTTAAAACTTTATCACACAAACGTTCATGTAAAGTTCCATAACCATTTCAGTTGAAGTTTATCAGGGATTATAAACAATTTATAACCATTATCGGTAAGGTCATGTGATGGTTCGCGTTTATGCGGGTTCTTCCATGCAGCAGGATCTTTTTCAGGACCCCCAAGGCTGTTTAAATCTTCAGCTAGATTTCCAGAATGCTCCTGTATCAGATCTACTGAAGCCTCTGGCTATATCCGGATGGTATTCCAGAAGATCCACCATCGTGGAATACTGATTTTTGGTGGTGCTTTTGCTTTTCGGTCTTTTCGCCCTAAAAGAAAAACAAATCTATAGTTGATATCACAGTTATCAAGCATCACTTTGTAACTATGTAATCACACAATTTGTTGCAAAACGCAAAAAGGGTGTACTAACATGATATGCAACTACCGTAAAACGGGATATCTTTGATAATAATTTGTAAACATGTTAAAAACTTTTCTTGTTTTTTGCCTGATTGAAAAAGTTCACTCAAGCAATCACTTATGAAATGTATTTCCAATATAGCTATCACAAATCAATGTTATCTTCTTATTGCTTTTAATGTTTTCTGATTACATACTCGTTCAATGTTTTATATTTCTTGAACTAAATTGTTTGAGATTCCCGCATATTTTTCTATATTCATCGAGCATTATCAACGTAACCCCATATCAAAATACTGATATTCGGTCACAACACCAAAAAAAATAGAGCAATTGTAATAATTTTTGTTAAACACATTACTAACGAATGGACTCCAGGAACCTCAGTACTTGTTTAAAAAAGTAAAATTTGAAAAACATTCTTGCCGTGAAAAAAAAATTTAGCATATACTTTCAAAAACTATCAATGTTACCCCGTTTTACGGTACTTTAAATTGGCTTGTAATCCACGCATAGCTAAATGAACGAATTAATCCAAAAAGGCCCCACACTCTGGCCCGACTCCGATACACTTTGCTATGGAAAAAAAAAACAGAATACGGAATTTCCAACTAATTAAACCCAAATTTCATACTTACATCGTTCCGAAATTGAAAATCGCTGGGAAATTGCGTCTTGTGTTGGTTCACAGAACTAAACAATGGATTCGTGCGCGATCCGCAAGTATCGAGTGACGAATGGAAAATCAACAAAACAAACTCATTCGAACGAAAATGGGAATCCCACAATTTGATCGAACGAACGATGTTCGAAACTTCGAATGGTTAGAAATGGTTCGAACGAAAACAGGAATACGAATGGGGGAAACTTTCGAACGTTTCTTATTCGACGAAAACAAGAATAGAGGTAAATGTCTTTGAAAACAGGTATAATAGACAGAATTTGTTGCGATATATATCTTTCTCTTTTACGCTTCCCTTATGAAATGTGATCAACGGCATGAGCAGGGTGGAAGGGTGTAAAAAAAGAGAGTTCGCCACCTAAAAAAATATCTTGATTACGGCTCACGCATGTTACATTGCCGTTTACCTGTATAAACAATAAGTATATGAAAATTGAGGTTCACAAATATCGAGAAGAAAGAAGTTAACGAACTTCAAACTTTTTTAACTGCCGAGGTGTGTAAAAATTTGCAAATCATGTCTGACGCAGGTTTCTCCTAAGAAACGTAAAGTATGTAGTGAAAACCGGAAGCTTCAGAATATCTCCAAATTGGCTGGTGAAATTAAGGATAACTTTGCATTATAGCAGCGTTTCTCAAACTATGGGTAGCGACCCATCAGTGGGTCGCAAGCTACCCTCAGGTGGGTTGCAGGAATTCAGATTGTTGATCATAGGTTTTTTAACAAGCATGTAGAATAATTCTGATTTTAAAATTATGCAGGGGTAATCAATTTAAAAGCCATTTTGGTATAATACAGCCAGTTTGGAAAGTCTAGGCCATTTTGACTTATTTGGACCATTTTTGGGTATTTTAACGTGTCATAAATTTGGTACCGAAATTTTCAGGCTGTTGATAAGATTTGTAGACCAATTAAGCGTTTATGATGCAATTCTTGGTAGTTTTGATCTTGTTTAGCGATTGTGAGGCCTTGTTGGTGTTCTGACGTTTCTAAGTCATGTTAGCGTTTTGAGGCCTTTTTCGCGATTTAAAGCCTTTATTTTGGCTTTTTTTTTAAATAATCAGTTTGAAGTTAAAAGCAGGTCTTGACTCTGTTTTTTAGCATCGCTATGAGGTGGTTTTCTTAATACGTTGAACTTTCTACAGCTCGAAATTCAAGGGATCATCGAGTTATAGAATTATCGAGTTATAGAATAACAATGCCATACAAAATCGCCATTACAGTATTACAGCCATGAAACTAATGTTTACTATGGTTCTAAAACTCAATATCGAGTTAGTGGACATCGAGTTGTGGAGAGTTGACTGTAGTTTTATACTTGTTATATGTTATATGTTATATGTTACTCATGCGTTTAGATAGCTCTTTCAGAGTCTTCAGATGTTTGGATGAATTTACCGATTTACCACAAATTTGTCGATTCTAGTCATTTTATCTCTTGGGGTATCATGGATTTTAAACATAATTTTGGCCTAATAACATCTCCATCTAATATTGGTGGGTCACAAGCTTATACAATTTATAAAAGTGGGTCGCAATAGAAAAAAAGCTTGAGAACCACTGCAGTTATCAGGCAAAAAAACAAGCCGAGGCTAGTTTTTCAAACGTTGCAGGAAGACCAGTGGGTTTAAATTTGAAACAGTCAGATTTTTGTTTTAGATTTCTCACGAAGAATTACTCAGCTATACCTAAGATCTTAATATGAGTGTTAATAAGGTCAGCATTTAATAACTATCCAGCCAGGCCTCAAATCAGCTATGAGGATAGACAACGCGGCCAAAAATGATCCCAATAACGCTTCAAATTGGGTGGCTGCCACAAATGCAACTCGGCATGCGCAATTTGGATTCGCTGGTTGCCATTGTAGGTACTTGATAAACGCCATTGCTTGATAAATGTGTAGTTTTGTAAGGATGCAATTTTGATAATCAGCTAAAGGTTTTGGACAATATGGATGCTATTATGAGACATTGTTTCGGTGATAAACTCATGGATGAGTGCATAGGTTTTTTTTTGTTGTGAAAGTTGATCTATCGAAACCTCTGGTAGCCCCGAAATTCCATATTGTTAAATATGAAATCATAGATTTTTCAAGAGTTTAATTATTTTATTAATTTAAACATGAGATCATAACAAGTCTACGATATCTTATGGTACCGAAAAAGGAATCTTACTATACCGTTGAAACATAGTATTTCGACTACTTTAATCTCTTTTGAATCATTTTTAGCTGAATTTGTTTCGATCCGTAACAGTTTTGTATAGTCAATAGTCCATATACCCTTAATAAACGGCTAAGTGTACTTCAAAACACTTTTTCTCAAAAAACCCAAGATGAAATATTTTAAAACCTTCACAGATTTGATTGTTATGATCAATACTAAATTCCTGTGAAGAAAAAACTGAGGTACATAAAAATTGCAAAAAAAGTGCTTTCAGACATAGCGTGCCACGTGATTTGCGTAATATTTGCACGGCACCGAATGGAAATGAAGTGATGATCAAATTTGACCGTAAAACTACTGGGTAGTTTGTTTTCCTTTACTTAATGAGATTACTAACTGCCAATTAGTTCGATCCATAGCTCATTTGGAAAATATGGAAAAAGGTATTTACCCTCGTAACGGAGACAACTTGCAAAATCTGAAAATAATTACGAGTCGATCGGTTCGACAAACAAATCAAGAACTTCAGACAATTCAATTTTCCAACAAGTCCTATTGTTCAAGTTTGGATAAGAGGCTTGCCGAACATTGTGAAAGGGCACCAACTACTGGGCATATTCCCCTATAGTTGCAGTCATGCTGCACTATAAGACGGCCTTTGGTTCAAGCTTCAGCACCTCTTCTGTACGTTGCTATTCCTTCGATCGCGTTAGGCAAGATGCAAAAGTGGCTCGTTCTGTTCAGCTTCCTCGGAATCGCTGAGGTGGTACGGTGTGGAAGCTACTACATTCCAGACGCAGTGGTAAGTCATTCAGCTACTTTGTTATCAGGCGGCGATCTATAAATTGAATACATGCCACCGTTTCAGAAAGATTGGTTCGAGGCGGTGGAATTTTGCCATGAATTAGAGATGCGATTGGCCGTGGTCGATTCGGCGGAAAAACAGCATGCGATAGTTGAGGCCATACGTTCTTCCGATGTATTCAACCCGAACAGAATGGATCTTTGGATAGGGGCAAACGACCTGGACCAGGAGGGACGGTTCGTTTGGCAGGCCACAGGTGAGGGGCTGGGCTACACTAACTGGAAACCCACCATGCCCGACGATCATTTGTTGAACGAAGACTGTGTCCACCTGCACTACACACCGTTCAATGATTTCCAGTGGAATGATTACATTTGCTATAAAAAGTTGTATTTTGTATGTGAACAGTAGAGCTTTTTTTCATTCTGGAACTGGGAAATCTTTCCAAAACATTGCAGACATCGTTGTCACAATTGTTAATATTGTATTAAACATATCACTGATCTTAACGGTATACCCTCACTAGTTGATCTCTTCTTCCGATCCAATCCAATTAGCTCTCAAGCGCTTCCAGTGCATAACTATTAGTGCTGAATGTGTTGAGTGGAGATGGTTTTTTGATATTTTCTTATTGTGACTGTTGCTTTGCATTTTGCTTTAACACGACTCGATGATTGCTTATGGTTAAATAGAAAATAGCAAAGAAAAAAAAAAAGAAAAAGAGCAGATAAGCACGTCCAATGCCGACTTCTGTGAGAACTTGAATAATTCGGTCCTAAAACGAACAAACGCATTAAAACTTTTTTTTTTTCAATTATTGAAATAGAAAATATTCGACAATTTCATCCTAACACTTTTCTCGATCCTCATCGTTGATGGGTGCGATCCGATTCAGTGCGTTTCTCTCATGGGAAAACTTTCCTACTACTTTCTTAAACTACCTCTCATATTAACTGCTATTTTTTGTTATTCTTACTGATTTTTTTAGTGTCTTAAATTTGTTCCGAAACTAGACTGAGTCTTTGCACAATTTCAGACTATTAAAACCCGTGTGCTTCTCCCGCGAAAAGAACACGGGATGAAAATTCGTGATTTTAACAAACTTGATCTCTCTAACAGGGTTGTCGTTGGTTTGATTAGCAAGCAAAATCACTGCCTCAAAAGTGGTAAGGGAAAATGGATTTTTTTTTAGGGGATAAAGATACTCATCAATCAATACAATCTTAATACAGCTACCGTTATCATCATCATTATCAATGTCGACTGGTGGTGGTCACGTGGTTCAGCGGTTCAGGAACACAATCTGCTTCTGCTGCATGCCGGCGGCTCTCGACTATGTATTAGGAAGTCAGCGGTGAGATGCCCACTTGCCGCGGGTCGGCTCCAGGTACGGTGACGGTTTCCAGATTCTTGAGCAGCAACGACAGCCACGGTTTGGTGGATTTGTCCTCCTGCAGGCAGGCGGCGAACGTTCCGTCACGCAACTGATCCGGCAGGCACTGGCGGAGCGCTTCGCGGGCCCTGCAATTCAAGATCAATTTCAAATCGAGATTCGAGGCCAACCTTCCGCTTATAGCAAACACACTCACCTTGGATTATCGGACAGTCTCAGGTAGCACCGAACAACGTGTTTCAACAGTCTTGCCGAGGGTTCCTTCGAAAGAGAGATGACCATCTTGCCCTGCAATCACAAAAAAAAAAAGTTAAACTTCAAATTCCCTCCTCAAAGCCGAATTGATTCCCTACCAAGATGATCGCCACATGTGAGAACCGATCGTACGTGTGGCAAATGTACGACAAACCACTGTCGTCCAACAGAATCTTCTGCAGGATGAAGGTAGCCACCGTTTTGCTTAGCTCCGACCCGGACTCCATTATCCGCAGGCACAGCGGAATGATCTCCGTCGTCAGCAGAAACGTAATCACTTCCTGCTCGTCCGTTTTGACTAGCGCACCGATGACCCCCAGCGACGTCAGTCGCAGGTACTCAAACGGACGCGTCTTCGATGTGGTGTGCAGGAATGGATACAGGAACAGCGGAATATGCGCCGCCAGAAAGACGGACCGCGTTTCCGGATGCGAAGCGACGCACTGCAGCAGGGCCAGAGCATTGCAGACCCGGTTCGATTGGTGTGCCGTCAGCGTGGCCGGATTGATCGACGGGTAGATGTTGATAATCTCCTGCAGCAACGCTGCGGTCGTTCCGAAGCTATGCCACAGCATCGGAGCCAAGTCCGGCACCGATTCGCGTTTTTTGCTTAGTTCCAGCAGGGCGGTTTCACGCGTCTCCGGATTTGACAGCTCGTTGATCCATTGGAACACTTTCTCGCTGTTGGCCGCCGCCTGCAGGCTGGCGGGGCTCTGCTGGGTCGACATCGTTGCGGCAGCCAGTTTGAAACTTTTTTTTTTGCTAATCAAACACTAAAAAGGAAAACAATAGCAAACGAGAAAACCCTTTTTTTACTTTTCTGCTCCTAAAAATAGAACTTCAAAAGAAGAGTAAGAAGCACTCCGTACCTTTCGCACTCCAAAAACCAGCAGGAAAACAACTTATTCTCACAAACAGCACTATATTACACGTCCCACGGCGAACCTCTACAGCAGGATTACAATTTCTACTACTTTTCCGTCGAATTTCACCGGGAAAATGGATTTTATTTTTCAGCGACACCTTCTTTGATTTACTTTTCGCTCTGGTAGCTTCCGTCGTTTCGTTTTTCTATTCTTTTTTTCACGGTGGCAAAAACTCGGTCGACGAACACGCTAACTTGAAAGTACCCATTAATGGTTGAAAAAGACCCATTTTGAAGAAAAGTGGCTTAACTCATTAAATGAGTAAATTTTTTACCCATTAATGAGTATCTGTTACCCATTAATGAGTAATTGTTAATCATTAATGGGTAACAGATACTCATTAATGGGTAAAATTGTTTAATCATTAATGAGTTAAGCCACTTTTCTTCAAAATGGGTCTTTTTTTACTCATTAATGAGTACTTTCAAGTTAGCGTGAACACGCACGCACACAAGCGCAAAAACTGAACCGAGAACCGACGTGCGTTGCCTTTGTTTTGGTTTCCAAAACCTCATCGGCAAAGTTTTGTTGAGCAGTACTAGATGCTAATAGGGTTTGTACTCAGAAAAAAATTAAAACTAATTAGTATAAAACTATACTACACAAACGAAAATCAAATGATTTTTAATGTTTTTTTTATGTTATGACCATGCTTGAATGTAGTTTTTTACTATAGTTGAAAAGGTTAACATTATTGGGGCTTCATCCAGCCTGTTGATGTAAAACAACAATAAACAATTATTTTATCCATGTGTTTCACTTATGTATATATTTTTGCCAAAGCATCAGTCTTATACATTCCATAAGACAAACCACATAGGTCCTATAAGAATGCATGAAAGGTATGTGTGACCGCTAATACCTTTCATTTGACACATGATCTTCATAATTTTTTGCAAGGCTTCTGCTTATTAGTTGACTTAAACATTTTATGAATAATTAGCAATAGAAATTTACCAAAAGGTATAAGGAGATTTCTATCCGTGTAAGGACAACCTTACGGGATTGTATACCAACCGGTGGAAACTAACGATTTTAAATTAATTATATGATTTGAGTAGTAGCTATACTGAAGATCCGAGAGATGTCGCCCCTTCAGTGGTAGGAAAATCATTTTTGCAGTATGGAGAGTATCAGAAATTCCACGATTTGTGACTAAACATGTTTTCACAGAAGGAAACAAATTAACGAGTGTTTACCTTATCACCATAGTAATGTACTCCTGCAATTTTTGTGCATCTAAAACTGCCCATAAAGACGATAATGAATAAAAACTGAAAAATTTCATGCATTTCCAAATGGTTTCCTACCATTCCCATACATTCGAAGTGACTGCCCTAATAAAAAATAACCATAAAAGAGAGCTTAACGACGTGTTTGGGGTATCATCCAAACCATTTGTGGGATAGTTTACCCATCCGGGATACAGTTAGTTTATGGTATTTGTTTATTAGGGTGGCCCTCTGGATGTGGATGATGTCAAAAACAGCAAAACATGAATCCTGATGAATGTGGGCATCTTAGTGGAATACCTGTATAATGAGAGAGAGAAGGATTAGTATTTTCCATTTAATTCCACTACTTTATTTGTTTATCCTTGACAGATACGCGTATTTCGTCTACAATGTGCAGACTTCTTCAGTGTCTTGTACTATCGAGTATTCGAGTAGTTGAGTATTAGTACAAGACACTGAAGAAGTCTGCACATTGTAGACGAAATACGCGTATCTGTCAAGGATAAGCAAATAAAGCAGTGGAATTAAATGAAAAATACTAATCCTTCTCTCTCTCATTAAGCAAAACATGATTAATTTGCTCACTACTTGACTAGTCTATTGGTCCTAAGCAAACGATTAACGTACCCCGTTCTAGTCGAAATTCTACTACTACGCAATGTTTGTTTTGATTCGCTATTAGCAACAATCAATACGAAACTAACGATTTTAAATTGGCTCACCACTTTAGTAGCCTATTGGTCCCAAGCAGACGATTAACGTACCCTATTCTAGTTGAAATTCTATTACTACACTATGTTTGTTTTGATTCGCTATGAAAGTTTGACAGATAACATCAGGGGTGTGTGGATTCTTGCAGAACATGCAGGGGTGAGTGAAATAGCTTGGGACTGCTTGGGACCGTTGTTCTGGTACTGAGTGAGCCAAAAATAATAATGATTTTCTTCGGGACCCAGTGGTCTTAGAGTTACCTCTATGCTTCTACTTTTTAAAATAAACGTAAAATTATTTTTATTTGAAACATTAATATTACATGACTTCCAACATGGAATACGTTTGAAATAAACCTTGTTTATTTTTGTGGCCAGAACAAACTGAGTTTACGTTTAAATTTACCTCAAATATTTTTATTTCAACGATAATTTTTTCTGCGTGAGCATGGTCTTGCTTTGTAGCTGCGCCTTTACCGACTGAACTAAGGGAGGCCTAAGGAAGGAAGCATAGGAAAATCCACTAACCCCTCATTTTATCTGTCAAACTTTCATAGCGAATCAAAACAAAGATAGTACTGGAATTTCTACTAGAATGAGGTACGTTAGTCTATTTGCTTGGGACCAATAGGCTAGTCAAGAAGTGAGCCAATATTAAATCGTTTGTTTCGTATTGATTGTTGCTACTAGTCACCCACATTAGATCCGTTTGCGTTGCGTTGACGTAAATTTGACAGTTAGACATTAGATTTAGCTGTCACTTTGCCGCAACGCGTCCGATCCGGATCTAATGTGCGTGGGCCTTTAGAGTTACCTCTATGGTTAGACTGTGCGTGAAACATGGCGGACTTTGTACTATCCTTTCACTCCACCGAAAATTCCCATAAGAATCTGTCTAAATTTGCTGGAAGAGCAAATTTTTCGACGGTGCCGTCAACGCCAATTTAGTTGTTTTTTTCTTCCAAGACTCAATCTCTTCAAATAGAACAGTGAATTATTCTCCGCCACCAGTGGTTGCTGCTGTTGCGGTGGCATTCCAAATTTGTCGAATTTTCTACCGGGGGGCAGGTATCAGTATTTCATTTCATCTTCGGCGCGAATCGTTTGCTTGGGACCAAGCTTGGGATCAATAGGCTAGTCAAGTAGTGAGGCAATTTGAAATCGTTAGTTTCGTATTGATTGTTGGTCTAACGTTTGCTTATGGATTTTATAATAGGAATAAAGAGCTACAGAGTCGCCGTCAAGGCCAATTCATCAACAAACGTAAAAATTAATGGCAGTGGTGCCAGAATTCATGAAAACATTAGCTTTCCATGCGACGGTACGTGTTAGTGGGTGTTTGAAGTGTGTCGAAGTGTGTTTTGTGGGTGTTAGCACAAGTTGGCAGAGTGACTTACCCCCTGTGACCCTTTGTAGAACGTTAAAATCAAGTGTTGTGATTAGACTTTATGTTGGGTGAAAAATTACTTGCATCGTGCGCCCAGAGGTGGCAACAGTACATTTTTTGAAAAACCATCGTCCAGAGCGAAACAAAACAGCCAGCACACGGGCGGCCGTTTATAACTACATTCCAAGCGAACAGCGGAGATAGAGAATAAATAAAATCTCGCAGCCTGATTTTTCCAAACAGTTTATTGTAATGAAATTTTAGCTGCAGGCTTGCGTGTGACAGTAAATTACCAACTCCCTTATTTACGCATAATTTTAACATCAATGCTTATGAGTGGTCAGTCTTCATTCTTATCTTTTAATTCCATGCAATAAACATCAAATAAATGCAGTAATTAGCCAGAAATCAGCAAAATTCTACACGACATAAATTTATGTCGCGCGCGCCGCCGGTCTTGTCTGCTTCTTTGTGCGAAAATGTTCTGTCGCTGGCAGAAAACAGTTTAGAAATGTCATGACATTTTTGCCGCTTGCCAGTTTGTTTTGTGTGTCGTCACAATGGTTATCGCAAAAAGTATCAAATGTTTAGGAAAAAATGTTAAACTCCAGGACTCGTGCCACCACTGCGTGCCCCATATTTGTCGTCAGCTGGAGAAGCATGCAAGGGAGTGGTTTGTTTGATGAAGGTAATTTAATGTCCAAACATCTAAAGTAAAATAAATTTCTAGGTCCAAAAAGTCCTAACTAATGCAACGTCTTGACAACGGGTGCCTCGGAAGCCATAATCCGGATGTGGAATCTACTTAAATTTTGCACTACTCGGTATGTTTGTAAATTATGAACTGTAAACACTTGCTAAATCTTCCCTCGTTTGCAAACTTTTCAGAATCCACGACTTTTAAAAGATCTGCGGCGTTCCCCTACGGACTGGACAGGAACCGAATACTACAGAATTATCTGGCAGACTGTGGCTGGGACTCGTTTCGTTGGTGCATGTTTTCAAAACGAAATGCTCAAGAAAGTGACTAAAAACCGGACACCTTCCCTCAGGTCAAGGACGTATTTAATATTGATTATGGAAGATATAATTAAATGTATACTCCATATATAAGCTGGAATAAAATAACGATGATTGATTTTAGATGACCAGATCAATACATTCAAGAAAATTATTAAAAAAAAACAATGTTTCCGCCTAATTTTATTAAAACTAAGAACAGGTACATTTTACTCAAAGCGAAGTCTTCGCAAAGTACTTAAAATTGGATTCTTCGCGAAGAGCTCAATTTTGACTGGTTTCACTTAACTGTCAAGATGAGTACAAATGACTTAATTTTGAGTTGTTTTGATTCTCCGTGTAGCTTTGAAAATAGAAACATTTTTTTTTGAACACTTCGTTTTTTTCTAATTGACAAAAATTTTACGTACGACCCAATCAAAAAGGACTCCAGATTTGTTCTAGTACAAAATTTCAGTGCCAAAATTTCAAAGGGGCGTAATTGCGTTTGTAAACAATGGCTTTAGCTGTCGATTTCTCGAAAATAGAAGATCACTCATGAAAATTAATTAATTAATTTAGCTTTATTTAGGAGGCTTTCAGCCTTAGGCTGGTTCGCCTCCGATACTCTCATGAAAATTAATGAAACATACAGGTAGATGAATGTTTCCTCTACCAGCAAGCATAACTTGGAGATGTAAGCTTTTATTTGCGAGAAATTGACGGCTAAAGCCATTGTTTAAAAAAACAATTGCACCCCTTTGAAATGATGGCACAGATTTTATTTATTTTTTGTTATTTTCTAAGAGAAAGAGGAGACAATACGGGTCTTTTATGAACCAATTTTTTGTCGAACGTGAACTATTTCCTGTGGTCGGGCGAACGAATAGAAACACGAGAATTTTTCAACAGGGAGTCTATTTTCTTGTATTTTGACTGTCGCCCATAATGAAATAGTTTTTGCACGCTCATTTCCGCGAGAGAAGAAGAGCTCGTCACAGACAAAAAGAAGCCAGTTGTCTCCTCTTCTTCTTACACTGATAAATTGAACTATTCCCATTTTGCTTGAAATTTAATCAATTTGACATTAAACTCATGGTTGATTAGATTCCCGCATAAACGCGAACCATAAATTGACCTTACCTAAAATGGTTAAAAATTGTTTATAATCCCTGCTAAACTTTAACTGAAATGGTTATGGAACTTTACATGAACGTTTAATGATAAAGTTTCAACCTTATGTATAATGGTTTTTTGGAACTGGATCTTACAAATAATGGGTTGTTAAGAACCATTACCATTCCAAATTCTTGTTTTCTCCATACATTTTCAGAAAGAGAACTATATAAGAACGTTTTTACTTATGATTTGAGAACATTAATGGTTATGGTTATGGTAGTCAGTAGGGTCCATTAATGGTTTTGTATTATCGCTCAACTTTACGTGGAATATAACGTGAATTGGTAATCAGTAAATTACAGGCAACCAATTCGCGATATATTCCACATAAAGTTGATCGATGTTACAAAACCATTCGTGGACCTTACTGACTACCATAACCATTACCATTAAAGTTCTCAAACCATAAGTTAAAAGGTTCTAATATAGTTCTCTTTCCGAAAATGTATGGAGAAAACAAGCATTTGGAACGGTAATGGTTCTTAACAACCCATTATTTGTAAGGTCCAGTTCCAAAAAACCATAATACATAAGGTTGAAACTTTATCATTAAACGTTCATGTAAAGTTCCATAACCATTTCAGTTAAAGTTTAGCAGGGATTATAAACAATTTTTAACCATTTTAGGTAAGGTCAATTTATGGTTCGCGTTTATGCGGGTTGTAGATTATCTACTTTTGAATAAATTTTAATCATTTTTGATTCTATTTTAATAATTTTTGATTGAATTTTAATCTTTTTTGATTATATATCAGTATTGAAAAAGAATAAAATTTAATACTGGAAAGATTATTTCGATTTTAATCATGCATGACTACTGCCGAAGTAATCATGGCTCGGACTCCATAAGGTGAAGCGGGAATCTGCAAACTTTTTAAGCTTTTTTGATTTAATTTATCTTTGAGTGTAGGTTATTTTGGGTCGGGACTCGCCTTCGTTTGGACGATGAGGCAAACATTTTACTTTTGACAGCTCCATAGTAAACTGTGATTAGGGCGAAACTAGGAAAGTGTATAAACAAAATTTAATAGAGATTTTACAGCAATCAGGCGGACACAGCAAAAAAAAATGTAATATCGATCAACGTAATTCAAGCTGATGTATGAAATAATGATGTAATAGCAAAAAGCAGATACAATATTACATCAATGGATGTAATTTTGTTCGCAAAATCGATGTACATCGTACAATGTGATATTACACAACCGATGGATTGACCTGGTTGCATCAGTTTCGATGTAATATTCAACAACTTTTTTTGCTGTGGAGCAAGCAAAGATCTTCTAACAAACCTAAACATTTTTTTCCTCTGTCGAAAAATCCGTGCAAAGCGAAAGACGAAACAAAATTTATTTCTAAACAAACTTAAAAATGGATTTTTAAAAGAGTTTAATTGATACACATTCAAAATTTGATGGTTTTACCATCAAATTAAAATTATATTATCTAGTTTCGCTCTAATCACAGTTTGCCCGTGAGATAAACGGTGTAAACAAAGCAGATATCAGCAACAAAACACAACACAAATTTTTTTTTTTTTGTTTGCTGTTGTCTGATGACGGCTAAGACCATGGTTGGTCCATCTTGCCTCACAACACAAATTGGCAATCAAAACAACGCTTTTTGGTAGTGAGGTAACAACGATTGGTGGTTTTTTACTAATTCTGTAATTTAATAACTTTTTGAGCCTACTAAATTTCCCAAATCAGTATTAGCAACTAGCATCACCATGGCGGAAATAAATTCCACACAGCTGGCTCGAAGGAAGTATCTGACAATGGCGGCTTCCTCGGAACTACTGGAACACGATTTCGATAGTGCCGACAAGGAATGCGTCGAATCCCTCACCGAAATGATGCAATGTTGTAAGTACTGCGACAATTACTAATGATTGGCAATGCTTTAAAATAATACCCTGGCGTTTACAGTCATAGTCGAGCTGGGTCAAACGGCACGCAACTACTGCGAATTGGCGGGTCGAACTCAGCCGGTCATCGGTGACGTCGTGATCGGACTCATCAACATGGGCATCACGATCAAGGGACTCGAAAGCTACGGCAAACGTGAGGAACGTCATATTCTGCAACAGCCGCAGCAGGCTCAATCGCAGAAGCAGCTCAGTATTCTGCAGGCGGGGCAGAAGCATTCCCATCCGTCGCACATTCCAAACCATTTACCGGCACTGCCGGATCCACACGCTTACATCCGAACGCCGGTAAGTTGAATTTTTCAATTATTCAATGGCTTCCGGTACCATTCATTGCTATTTGTAGACCTACAAACAACCAGTCACCGAGTATGAGGCTATCCGAGAGAAGGCAGCCTCTCAGAAGCGTGACATCGAGAAGGCTCTTACCAAGTTTCTTGCCAAAACGAGCGACGTTCACAGCCTTTTCGACAACGAAGATAATCCGATGTTCCCGTTGATTGCCTGCAAACCTTCGTTCCCGCCGTACCTCCAAGCGTTGAATCCCACCGATCAGATTTTCGATTTCGAGGAGTTGGAGTATTACTACCAGGTGGCTAACCGGAAGGAGGATCCAGCCGACACGAAGGACGGAGACGATGACGACGATGACGAGGATGGCGAAGGCAAGAAGGAAGACGACGGCAAGGACAGTGAATCGACTTCACCGGTGAAGGGAGAATCGAGCAATGGGGGAAATGGGGCGGAGGGCAAAATGGGACCACCGACGGTGACGGTGTCGACGGCAAGCGGAACGATAACGACGGCGCAGATCAATTTGACCAACAACAGTCCAACGATTGATAATCCCTACCTGCGGGCGGCGACGATTCCGAGGAAGGTCAAAAGTGAATCGGGACCGGGAATGTTCTAGGTTTGTATGAGGGAATGATTGCTTTGGGTAACAGTAAGTCATTATAATACAATTGATGGTGTCTATATTCAGAATCCTAATGAATAAATTAATGCTTCTTACGATGACTAGGTATGTAACTTTTGATTCGAAAACTTCAACCTACCTTCTTTTTACATTGGCTTACAGAAGCACATTGGCCTCTTGCATACATTTTGGCGCATTGTAATCTCAAAAGCGATAGGCAGCGTAAGACTCAAGTCTGTTGCGATTTTGCGATAGGGTATAGCTCTTTGATCTTTTGCAAGCTTCCAGTTGACATGGAGAGGAATAACTAAAGCCCTACAGTAAAAGTATGGACGTCTGTCAAAAGTTGTTCCAATCGAACCGTCAAAATGCACCGCTTTGCTCGATTGGAACAGCTTTTTTCAGTTTTGTGGTGACAGTCGTCCATACTTTTACTGTAGGGCTTTAGGAATAACTATTAAATAATATTATTTTTACGAAATGACAGTTGCTCAGTTTGCTTGACAGAAATTGATTATATTGGTGTTGCTTCCACAGGATCAAAGTCCATCCATCAGTTGAATAAGAAACGTCTCGTATAGTTGCTACCCAAGAGTTGCTACTAGAGAGGGTCTAGGATTATAGAGGTATGAATTCAAAACAAACTGCCTTGACAATCCAAGCCTTTCTAGCAACATTGCCAATGCAATCAAGATATATAGGGGCTGCTCGATTGATTCTGGCTTTGACAATTCGTTAGGCTCATTGGCCAACGGACTGTTCCTCTCTTATCCTAGACCATCTCTAGTTGCTACCATAAGTTGAGTTTTAAATAACTGCACTCATATAAGAAATTTATAAAATTGAAGGCCGGTTAAAAGTAAATTTGAACACATGTTTCAATCATAGGGGTAAAGGAGCATTGTGGTACATAACTTTGCATCCAAATTTACTTTTAACCAGGCTTTAAAAATCAAATTCAATTGAAAACTATTAGAAGCATTCATATACTCAAAAAATTTCACACGTTTGATCGAAGTGTTTAAACACTTGATTTTCTAAATACACAATCACATTTACTTTAAGTGTATTTCACCTTGGTTCAATGTGTTATACACGTTAATTTATAATGTTTCAAACTTTGAAATGTTGAAAATCTTTCACTATCTATTCAAGTGTATTGCACATTGAATCACGCTACTGTTCAAAACAGATGGATTTAAAGTGTTTTGCATTTCAATACGATGTGAATTGCTTGCTCAGAAAGGTAAACATCGAAAACTAGAGTTGTGACTTTATCCTATCAACCTGCCTCATATATGAGAACAACCGTGGCACAGTGAGATCGAACGAAGACTCCGGCAGCAGCACACCCCAACAGTCCATGATCGAATCTCAAATCAGACCCATTAAAAAGATAAGTGAAAGCTCTGGCCTCTGGCAGTTTTCACTATATATTTATCGATTCATTTTTTGGGTCGGCAAAGTAGAAGTCGATAAAGTAGAATATTGTAGAATATTGAACTATGGTGTGCAAAGCTATTGATATCACCATATGAGGCACATAGAATCCAAGTGTGTCACAATTCAAATCCATAGTGTTCTGGCATGGGCTAGCAAGGAATCAAAAATATCTCCAAATGACAAAATGACAAGCGATCAACGAACCGAATAATAACGCTATGTCAGAAGTGCAAAGCAATAATGATATAATCTTCTTCCTTCTTTTTCATGACAAGCAGCCCGTGCGACACAACTCACTCGGGGCGGTAGAAGGAAACGAGCAAATTGTTGGCAAGCTGCTTCACGAAGTAAAGCCTAAAGCCGAACATGATACACGTGTGTTAATGGGAATTTTTTTGTTATGTCTTTTCTGGAACGCATTGATTTCCAATTAATTCACTATTATAGGATCACTACCGCAACAATAGGTGCAAAGGTGCAGAAAATGCCTTTTAATGGAAAACGTTTTATTCAGGTGAAACGTTATACAGTCTTAGAGCAACGATTACTCAGTCGATATAAGTTCGGTTTCATTGTCACTGTGTTCTTCTTCTCTTTCGTACCTTGCGCTCACGGAGGTACACGCTTATTCTGGTCAACTCAAAATTGAGTCGAATGTACTCATCTCAGCGGCAAGTATGGCTACTCAAAATTGAGTAGCCTTATGTTGACTCACTTTTGAGTAAACTACGTTCTCACGTAGACTGAGTCAAATCCACTCGCCGGTATTTTCAGTTGCAGGGAGGGTTTTTATTTTGGTTTTCATTCAAGGAAATGGAAATTGCCTGCTCCGGATTCCTTCTACCGGAGCAAAAAACGGTTCAACACCGTTTCCCTAAGCAATTCGTACTTACCTGAAGGCATTCCAGCCGGTTTTGAGTAACATTTTCTATGAACTTTTCTCCGACATGACTGGCATTTTTTCCAAGTCCAGGATTTTCCTGACTGAGTGGCTTTTACTCAGTTTGACATTTCTCGTTTACTCAATTTTTGACAACTCGATACATCGGACGAAAGTGAGTACGATCGACTCACCTGGTGAGTAAACAGAAGTTAGCGTGTAGAGCTTTTTTTCAAAACCATTTCATTGACGTCTTATCACTATGAATTCGGAGTGATCGGAAAACAGGCTTTTAGGACCACGGAGAATGAATGAAATTAGGAGTTTAGACCGGTATTTAATATTTTGATTAAACCCCTTATAGTATACTATAGTTTAATCTGCTAATGTAGTTACTACTTCACAGGCTAGAAAAAAATTACAAAACTCTTCAAAAACTGCACAACCCGATGGTTCCTTCAATATCGATATGTATATAGGTAGCAAAATTTTCCATCCGCTCTCCTGCGATAGTAAAGACGTTGCCAGGTGTATAATGCAAGTTGGTAACGTGGAAACTAAAACAAGGTACCGTGAAACGGAATATCTGTGATAATGTGGGTAACTTTGATAGTAGAATATAATGATTCAATTTACTTGCTGCACTATTTCCCAATTGGAAACATTGGTTCAATTTTGTAGGTTAAGGTATTACCAACGGGTGGAAACTAACGATTTAAAATTGGCTCACTACTTGACTAGCCTATTGGTCCCAAGCAAATCGATTAACGTATCCCATTCTAGTCGAAATTCTAGTACTACACAATGTTTGTTTTGTAAGAGATGAACAAGCCTTCGGCTAAAAATCTCTTAAGTAAAGAATTTAAAAAAAAATAAAAATGTTTGTTTAGATTCGCTATTAAAGTTTCTTCTTCTTCTTCTTCTTCTTCTTTCCTTTATTTAACGTCGGTCTCTGTTCCGCAATCTAGTGCCAATCACCGACGGACATCGATTGCAATCCATTGACGGCAATCGAATGTGCAGGAAGGCAGCTTCCACACCTGCGTCGGATATCGCACCCATTCACAACACACATGGACCAGGACCAACGGCTTTACTTCCCGAAGGAAGACGTGACCAGAGATTTTTATGCCTCAGAAAAATCCCACCGACCTCGGCTGGGATTGAACCCAGACCCATCGGGGTGTTAGAAAGCAGTCACGCTTACCACTACACCACCGGCGCCGGCCTATTAAAGTTTGACAGATAAAATGAGGGTTTCGTGAATTTTCCTATGTTTCGAGTATAGATATTATAGATTCCATAGATAAGCGGAGGCAAAGTATAATGTAGCCAAACGAACTGTCAGTTAGTGTAGCCAAACGAGCATGACGTCATCATGGTGTTGTTTGAGGGAGAAGTATTGTAATATTATGAGCACAAAACGCTTTCCACACTCCACATTCCGATTTATTTCGTGGACAACGCAAGAAAGATAAAGCAAAATATTCCTCGATTCATTGTGGCAAAGATTTGCTTTGCACTTCATTTTGAACTTTTACGCATGAAACAAAACAAAACTGCACAACGAAGAGCTCTATAGACGAGTGCACGGATGGGTTTGAGTTCACTCACTCGACAGAAAGTGACAACAGCGGGGCCCTGTTTACTAAAAATGAACACATATGTTCATTTGTGTTCATTTTTAGTAAACAGGGCCCGGCTGTTGTGTCACTTTTTGTCGAGTGAGTGAACTCAAATCCATCCGTGCACTCGTCTATGATGGCATGAATTTTTTTCACGGATGCCAGTAAGATCATTTATTTTTCATGGTTGCCAAAACAACTTTTTGTGCCTCCGCTAATCTATGGAATCTATAGTTATAGTTTCGAGGGGTGCATCGATTAGCTTGGGACCGAAGATAGTACCAGAGCTGAGCCAAAAAGTTGAGCACGTTTCTTCGGGACCTTCTAATCTTAGAGTTACCTCTATGGTATAATCTCGTTTTTGATATTATCCATAGATAGACGAGGCCTTAATGGATATTTTAATTTTTATTGGTCTCAGTTTCTGCACTGCTCAATTGAATAGCGATTGCTAGTTTAAATTGGAGTCCGAATCATAATTAAATAATCAATTGATTTATGTCTTCGCGTTTATTTCCTAACATGACAATAATTTTAAGTTATAATTGTGGCTTATCTATGTGGAGCTGATATGAGTTTTACGTAGTGCGACGTGTATATAAATCACTGTACTCTGCTTGGCATACAACTGGAGCTTAATGAATTTATACTTAATCTGCTTTATTGAGCTCTACAAACTTTAAGCACAGTTATTATTTCTAGATAGAGCTGGAATTAGGGCGTAACAGCTTTTGTAAACAATGACTTCTATCGATGATTTCTTGGAACTTAAGGCACGCCCACGCAGACCAACATAACCATCGGATAGGGAAAGTCTTTCCCTACCCGATGAAGAGGTTGGTTTGCGTGAGCGAGCCTTGAGTTTCTAGAAATCATCATTTGAAATCATTGTTTACAAAAGCTGTTAGGCCCTAATTCCAGCTCTATATAGATTCATAATCTTATTAAATTGCAACAATATTTGAAACGCGAAGCAATAAAGTTTAATAATCCATCAGCCCAATTTTCCGTATTGCCACCGCTGATTTTGTGGGGTAATAGCAACAATCAATACGAAACTAACGATT